TTTACTTCTTGTAATATTTAATTTTAAAGCAGCCATATTTATGGTCGTGCTAGGTATTCACGCAAATACAACAAACACAATCTATTCGTCTTGGCTTTCAACAAATAAACAATAAACATGCGTTTCACCCGAAAGCTTATTTCGCACTAAGAAGATAAGCGACGACAAGTACCATAACTCTCGACGATCCATCTCAGCCGGGACTGTTCGATTGTATCCGAGGCTTCACGACCAAGACCATCAGTATTAAATACTTTTATATTATATTATTATACTTTTTATGCTTTAAAGTTATACGGAGTTAATTTTACATTTTGTGTTTGGAAAAAGTTGGAAAATTGAGATTTTATTTTAGTTAGAGGGTGGTAGAGGGCTGATAAAATCATTTTAAAATAATAAGAAAAAAACAAAAGATTTATACACGGTAAAAGACAAACTTTGAGCGGTATTGTGTTCCTAATTTATTTATTTATTTTTCAAGGTCACTTAAGGGCTGGTAGAGGGCTGAAGACATTTTTTCAAAATAAAACAAAAAATCACAAGTATTTTTTACACATATACGCATCTTTTTACGGGTATTGCGTTCCTGTTTGATTCGTTTTTTTTCTGAAGTCCAGTTTCGGCCCACCCTAATGTACCGTCTTCTTAATAAGATTGACGATTATCATGACCATGACTATTTGTATTCTGTTTACAGCTGCTATAATAAAAAGTTGATTTTAACAACACTTAAAAAATTATCTAATATTCAGTCAAGACATTCCACCTGCTTCTACGCTAAGTTTGAATGATAACTTGCAGTTATCATTCAAACTGTTCCTCTAGTTTGAATATAAACTTCCTCTAGAAGTTTATATTTTTTGTCCCTCTCATTACATGGCTTGAGTTTTGTAATGTTCGTATTTTTATTTTATTTTTTAATTCTCTTTCTTTTTAGAGAATTCGCAAAACCTGTTCATTCATACTTCGATCTATCTTCAATCCTGACCCCCCGGATCGAGTCCTTGTGATCTTGTGTATTGTCTGTCTTCAAATATCTCGGTCTCTGGTTATTTCTTTTATTTCATGCATACGTCTTTTGCATATGCCTGTAATTTGATTAGTAGTCTTGTTGGTAATCTTCCTTGTGACCTTCTACTTTTCCTTGGGTAATAAGTCTGTTCATGTTTTCTGTGTATGCTCTCATAACATGTCCAAAGTATTTTAATTGTATGCACTTTGCTGGATAACAATTTGCTGAATTTTAGCTCGTTTAAAATTGAAATATTTGTCCTGCGGTTGGTCTATGGAATTTGTAACATTCTTCTTTAACAAAACATTTCAGTGTTGTCTATCTTTCTTCGTTCCGCTTGCCGTAGTGTCCAAGATTCATATCTGTATGTCAGTATTGGGAATATTAAGCAGCTGACCAACCTCATTTTTAGACTTCGTGAAATTTAAGACTTCTTCCATATTTTGGACATCTTAAGTACGGCGACTTTTACGACTTTTACTAGAGCACATCTACGTTTTATTTCTTTCTGTAGTAACCCTGTGTTTATGATCAATGTTCCTTGATATAAATATGAGCTCACAACTTGAAATCGGTCAATCGTGGTTATGTTGTGGATGATTGTTAGTAGATTATCCACTATCATGATCTTTGCTTTGATATGTTTAACTACAGACCAAATATTTTACTTTTGTTTCTAACCAACCGTATAAGATCAAGTAACTCTTCTCTTGCGACAAACGCCGTGTCGTCTGCAAAACGTACGTTATTTATTTTGCGGTCATTTGTTGAGATGTCTTTTTCCCACTTTTTAAACGCTCTTTTTATAACATGCTCATTGTCATTATCATCATCATGGCTTTTCATTCCAGGTGGAATATTTGCCGCTCTTACTTAGAGCTTTCTGATTCGCTTATAGCGGTGAATCACTCCGCATTCGACGTGTATGTTATTAAAGTTTGTTGTATGACTTGGCTTTCGTTACAATTTTCTTCTACTCATTTCGATATGTGCAGAGTTCCGTCCAGTTTCTCACTTTCAAAATTTTGATATCTGTCATGACCTAGTCCTCCCATCTCTCTTTGGGTCTTACCCTTGGTCTTTCAGTTGCTGGTTTCCATCTGGTAATCTTCTTAATCAGTAGGTCGTTTTTCCTTCTCTCAATGTGTCCCAGCCATCTCAGTCTCTGTGTTTTAGTATATCTAACTATATCTTTTTCCTTCATTATGTCCCTTGATTCATCGTTTATTCTTCTTCTTATTTCTCCGTTGTCCATTCTTATTGGGCCCACAATCCGTCTGTGGATTTTCCTTTCGAAAATTCCTAATTTTTCTTCATATTTTTCTGTAAGGCACATTGTCTCAGCTGCGTACGTAACTACTGATCTGATTGCATCTCTGTGTATTTTCAGTTTTGTATTTCTGGACAAGTTCTTATCCTTTATAAGCCGATGATATCTCAAGTGTGTTTTGTTACCTGCTAGTATTCTTCCCGTTACTTCTTCACTTTTCTTGTTTTGGCCATTGACTATTACTCCCTAATGTTTAAATTGTTAGACTCTTTCGAAAATGTAGTTTTCTATTTTGATTCCTCTCGTCCTGTTATCTTTCCTTCTTGAGCAGAGTAGATATTTTGTTTTTCCTTTGTTTATTTCTAAACCTCTTTTCCGTGTTTTTTTTGCCAGGATTGTTACTGCTTCTTTTAAACTTTGTTTGTCTCTTCCCATAAGAACTAAATCATCTGCATCTCTCTCTTCAATCCTGCCCCAGGGGGAGTGTAGTGGTCGACGTGATGTCGTGTATTGTCCGTCTCCAGAGATCTCTGTCTCTGGTCATTTCTTTTAATTCATGCATAGGTCCTTGGCATATTCCTGTAATTTGATCTATCCATCTTGTTGGGGATCTTCCTCGTTATCTTCGGCCTTCTATCATCTGCATATGCAACTATTTTTGTTGATGAGTGGGCTATAGTTCCTTTAATATTGCTGGCCTTGACTGTTCTTTTTTCTTTTGTTGTTAGTTTAGCTCAAGCTCCATCCATGGTCATTTTTGTTAATCTGATTAATTTTGCTGGTACTCTCGATTTTTCATTTCAATAAATAATTTTTTTTCCAATACAGTTATAGGCTTGTCTGAAGTCTACGAAGAGGATGTGGAGTTCCATGTTGTATTCGTGGCATTTTTCGTTTGTGTGTGTGTAACTATGTGGATCGCATCTGTAGTGCATCTGCCTTCTCTGAATCATTGCTGGTAGTCCCCAATTTTTTCTTTGTGAATTGAGTTAGTTTTTGTGAGATGAGGGCTGTTAGAATTTTATATGTTGTGCTCAGTAGAGGTATTTCTCAACAGTTATTACAGTTTGTTACCTATCCTTTCTCAAATATCAGTATAAATCTGCCTTCTTTCCAATCCTCGGCCATTTGTTCTGCTTCCCATATTCTAACTATTAAGTTATAGATGGTTGTTAGTAACTTTTCCCTCCGTTTTTAATTAACTTATTGGTAATTTTATCTGTGCCAGGTGTTCTTCTCTGTTTCATTTTTTGAATGATGTAATATTCATCATATATGTTGGTATCTCTATTTTATTATCTCTAATGTCTTCCATTGCGCCTATTAAATCTTCCTGACTTTCTTTTCATCTATATAGTTTTGTAAAGTGTGTTTCCCATGATTTTATCAATCTACTTATTAATTTTATCTACTGGTCTGCTTTTTTTGAGCTTTTAGGTATCTAAATAGTTTGGCGCTGTCTTTACTATTCTTTTCTGGGTCCTTTAACAGTTCTTCCGTCAACAGTTTTTTTTTATTTTTGCAACAATTATCTGCTGCTTTCATTATTTCTTTATATTCGATTCGAAATTGTTCTTCTTTAGTTGATATTCATTTATCTCTTGCCATCCATTTTCTGTTTGATTTTAATTTCGAATTCTGCATCAAACCACTCGTCCCTTCTTTTTATTTCTCTCTCGTCCTAGCACCTCTTTAGCTGAATTCAAAATTGATTCTTTTATAATTTTCATAAGTTCTCTGTATTATTTGCTTCTGTTAGATATTCCTTTAGGGTTGTCTCATATTGCTCTCTTAGTTTCTGTACTTTTAACTTCTGCAGATTAAATCTTCTGTTGTTTTGTCTTGTCTCTTTGCTTTAATTATCTTCATTTTGATTTCTCCTATTACTAGAAAATAGTCTGTGTCCGCATTTGCTTCTCTATAAGATCTGACATCATGCATTATTGCTTTACATTTTTTGGATATTAATATATGCTCATCACGTATATTAAATAATTGTGGAGACAGTATTCATCCTTGTCTGACGTCTTGTTCTAGATGGAATTCGTTTACGACTGTATCAAGCACTTTAACAGTTCCAATAATTGCAGTAGTAGTACTCGAATGTAAGTAGGATATTATTCGTATTCTTCTGAAAAGTCACATCCCAAAAACTTTCTACTTTTCTATCATGGCTTTACTCAGCATGGCTTTTTCTATGCCATATCACAAGATACTACTATGTGGCATACAATACTCAAAGTTCTGTTACAATAAAAAATCATTTTGATAAATGAACTACGTGCAACGTTATTTCATATTTTTGCAGAAATGTTTTTTCAAAGCGTGAGATGTACAATGCAAATTAACCATTTTTACCAGACCTGATCAGCGACACAGTGCCATCGTTCCCAGAGTTTCGGAAGTGCCAGCAGTACCAGCGACGTATATATACGGTTGCTCATTAAATACAAAGAAAAACTCAGAAAATGTTCAAAAAATAAGAAAACGAAATTATTTTTAATAACTAACTATAAATTAAATATAAAATTAATACGAAAGTAGTCATTAGAATTGTTCCTGGGTATGGTAAATGCCAAAACAAGGATGTGCGCAGAGACCCACATCACATTTCCGACACATTCTTGAGCTTGATTCGCGCCGTTTCTTTGCTTGAGCCTTTGTTGTTGAGTAAACAGTGCATCTATGAACTTTGTTCTTGGGGACAATATCAGGAAAATGTCTACCTACAAGACAAAAAACATTTCGCACAGGCACTACAGTTGTATGTTTTGGTAAATGATACCTAAAAATACCATCTTATTCTTTTTCTTATTCAAGTTTCACTTCTATCGGAGATTGGAAATCATTCTGGCAATTATAATTTTACTTTGATGGTATACAAGGCAAATATCGAACACAGTAATTAATTAAATCTTGCCCAAGTACTTTCGATCAATAGATCATCCTCAGGGGCATTTCGTCAGTTGTGGCCTATCCGACATGAGCAGAATATCATACATGTAAATTTGGACATAACAATACAATACACCAAGACAAACAAACACTTTAAAATTTTTAAAAATGGAGAAGCTACATGTTATATAGAAGCCGGAGACAGACCGAATTCTGTCTCCGGCTTAATTAATTAAACAACTAGTAGTTAATCAAACATACTAGTTGTTCCTGAAGGCATTCCTAGACCCTCTACAGAAATATTCGAGGAACTATTAGTTTCGGAGGTATTTTGATTGTTTCTTGACTCTTCGACAACTAGTGGTCGAGTATTTATCTATTGGAGACCCTTTCAGCATGGGTTCTTTAAAAAACACACACAATAACATTGATACAACAAATTAGAGTTACATTTACACCTCTTTCAGCCGATGTGATACTGCCGACTAGCTCCTTTCGTTGCAATATCACGAACCGGGGTATGCACCGTGGTTAGTCCGGTTTCGTCTAAATTATAAATTCTATTCGGACTAAATGTGTATCTTACGATAAGTTCCTCCAGTTTACCAAAAAAATTAATTAACATTTGTTTTATTTAATTCTGTCGATCTGTCTAAACTTGTTGCTTGTGGTTTATATTAGAATACAGACGGATGTCTTCGCAGATAGAACCTGTAAAAAAATTATTTACCCTTATGACTTAAAAATGCAAAACTTTTTTATCTGTACCACTTCTTTCCTGCTTTTTGGTTTGTACCCTAGGAAGTGGGACAATCAATATTATTTACATGTGCCTAGTTATATGCTAACTTTCTTAATTCGATAATTGAGAGGCCGTAATGCATCTTGACACAAATGGTAACATACTTTTGTAGCTCTTCCTCTTGCTGTTTCGTAAAGACTAACTTAAGGTCCTGTGATGCTCTATATACAAAACGTTTTGTCCAGATCCTCTGTGTTTCTTGAGATGTCTGCATAAGGTTGCTTTAGATACTTTAAACTCTGCGCTGGCTTGTCTTAGACTGAGCTGTTTTTGCAATACAGTTATTAGCAGTATTTTCGACGTTTTCGGCTACAGGTTTTATTCTTTTAACATCTGTTTTACTTCTCGGCATCTGTAAGTCAAAAACTAAGCGTTTAAATTTTTATAACCGTCTATAGTTCATACAACTTGCACTTTGAACCACGTCCGTGTACTTTAAAACATGGTCCAAAGTACAATTCAGACGACGTTTCAAAGTACACGATAATCACATGTTTAAAATATTCGCTTTTTATTACTTAAAATATGCACAATTATCTGCAAAAACTAAGAAAATATATTGCTTAAAACTTCTATATTTGTGTAACCATAGACAAAATATAAGAATATTAATGTACTTACAGCTATTTTATTCGAAGGCAGAGGATACGAAAATACAACAATAATCACGCCACAAACAAACAAATTTAACTGTCGAGTTTTTAGACCTATTTGCTTCATATTACGTATTCTGCCCTCTGTAAGCGCATAATAACGTTATATAACTAGTTAATGCACCTGAACCGCTAGTATGCTGTAAAAGTCCGAACGTTTCAAAGCACAATATTTCTCAAAGTACAAGGATCTCCCCTAAAAGAAAAGTCGAACGACAAATTTAAAACATTTTGCATAGTTTTACCTTTAATAAAAATTCTGATATGGACATTAAAGTCACCAACAAGAATGTACTGAAGGGAAAGTTAAAAATTGTGGTGAAGTTTAGAAAGGATGCATATTGCATATGCTGCAACTGGTAAGTTTATTTGGACACCAAGCAGTAACAGCTACTGCTTTTAAAACTGTAGTTAAAGTTAAAAGAAACGAGGATACATCACTAGACATAAATATTGGAGCACCACCAATTAATCTAGTACAGTTTTTGCGGATATGATATTATCCTTCAAAGTTTTTAAATCTTCGTTGATGTCAAGATTATTATGTGAAATAATTCTATTTTTATTAAAATAATTCCATTTTTATTTAGGTAGCAGTATTTGATAATACTTAAAAATATACTTACCGGTCAAAGAAATGATCAAGAGTATATTTATTACTTTGTTTTAGGCGTACATTCGCTTCCTCTAACTGCTGATAAACAACCCTTACCAAATGCCAGAAATATAACAGCAACCATATACACAGATGGCCTGTTGGAGACTTGTGTAGAAATAAATTTAAATGCAATGATATTTGCCCAAGCTGTCTCACACGACCTTAGTTTTATCAAACCTGGTACGTATTTTAGTATAAGAGTTTAGTTGTTCATTAATAGTCTTCTACTGATAATTTTTATAATTGATAAAAATTCCATTATAATAAGAACTACTTATTTGGAATGTAAAGCACGGACAAATTGATATTTTATCCAAACAAAATTTTCTTTTCTAAAAAATACCTTTACCACCTACCTTGGACGATAGTTACTAAATTTTATTATTTAATAAAAAGAAATTACAATTATAATGATTAAATATCCCCATAATATATATATAATAGTTTTGTACATATTTTTAATAAAATAAAAGCCGATATTTTATTAATTTTTTATTTTATATTTATTTTATTTATTATCACTCAATTTTTGGGCTATTATGAGCGTTTTAAATGTAAAAATGTAGTTAATGTGTGTGACTTAGTATACAGTGTGTAAAAGCCAAATGGACTAAATTCATTATTTAGGTTACTGTACATATTTATAAAAAATCCCGAAACACGTCAAATTTAAATTATAATTTGACAATATTTAACGTGAAAATGCAACCCCTACCTTCAACCCCCTTAGAATGATAGGTACAACCCCCAATATTTAAAATAGGAAGTATAGGCTTGTGATATATCGTTTGAAAGGTCTTTTCATTCTTCATTCAAAAATGTTGTCGCTTTTAAGTTTATTAAAATTAATTAAGATAAAGTAAATTAAAATCATGTGGTTACCGAAATTCGCTACAATACAATCAAAAAATAGAATGTAATGCAAAACGTAATAAAATGTAGAACACGAAAAAGAACTATAAATGTTAATGAGGTGAATGTTCAAAATGTTCACCGCGAACGTCTTGGCAACATCCTAATCTCAAATAAAACTGTCTTCTAATATTATTTAACATAACAGGCGTAATCGACCTAATCGCAAGCGTTATTTGTTCTTTTAAGTCATTTAAATCAGAAGGTTTAGTTTTGAACACATGGCCTTCACATATCTTCATAAAAAGAAATCTAATAATGTAAGATCAAGTGATCGCGCTGGCCATTCAATTGATCCTCGCCTCCCTATCCACCGATTGGGAAATATTGTATCGAGGTACTGCCGGACATTAAGTTGATAATCTGGTGGTGCTCCATCCTGGTGAAACCATATCGTATTCGCTGGAACTTGTGGGTTTCCTGGAGCAGGATTTAAATTTGACAACGTTGGAATGACATCATTTCGAAGTAGTGCCAAAAAAATGGACCAATGATATTGTTTTCTACAATTCCTGCTCAAACATTAACCTTTTGAGGGTATTGAGTGTGTTTTTCTCTCATCCAGTGCGGATTTTTCGTGGTCCAGTAGCGGCAATTTTGCCGATTAGCATGACCGTTAAGTTAAAAAGTACACTCTTCAGAAAACATAACGTCTTCTAATTGAATAATATTGTTATTTAACATATCCATCATTTGTTCACAAAAAAAAGTTCTCCTATCAAAATCGTCTTCCATGAGCTCCTGAGTAGGTATCATCTTATAGAGATGCAATTTATTTTCTTTTAATATGTTTACTATCGACGTATGGCAAGCACTGAATGTAGTGGATGCCTGTCTACTCGATGTATGTAGATTTTCCTGAACCTCAAGCAACACATCTAATTCGAGTTCATCACTCAGTGCATTGGCAGCTGCTTTTTTTATCTGCCTTACATGACCAAACTCGCGAAACTGCTTCTCTATTTTACTTTCTCATAAATTTCTCATAAAATAGGTGAGTTACTTCCTGTTGTGTTCGAGTGTTATCATTTGTAAAACTGTTATTTTATGCATTTCCGTTAATCTAACCATTTTTCAGAATTATATTGAACGAACTTTTTACTTAAATTAAAATACTGACAACTTAAAAAAACAATTTACTAATGCGTGTTAAAATAACGTTGCCACGAAAATTATTTAAAGTTTTTTAATGGTTACCATCTAAAAACCACACTGCTATGGTTTTTGTTCACTTTCTCATTATCAAGACCTAAACGGGAAATAAGTTTTGATTATATTTTAGCGAATTTCGGTAACCACATGATTTTAATTTATTTTATCCTAATTTATCGTAATAAACTTAAAAGCGACATCATTTTTAAATAGAAAATGAAAAGACCTTTCAAACGATATATTACAAGCCTATACTTCCTACTTTAAAAATTGGGTGTTGTACCTGTCATTCTAAGGGGGTTGAAGGTAGGGGTTGTATTTTTACGTTAAAGAATGTCAAGTTATAATTTAAATTTGACGTGTTTCGGGAATTTTTATAAATATGTACAGTAACCTAAATAATGAATTTATTCCATTTGGCTTTTACACACTGTATTATATTTATAAGTGTACAACATAATATGAAAATCACATGAAAGAAAGACGAAATGACACTATAGGGTTAATTCGAGAAAATTGAATTTTTAACTTTCAAACCCTAACTATCAACATACAATTAAATATTTTGTGTACTTCATTTAAGTTGCCTTCATAGCTATTTTGTAACATATTATTTTAACAAAATAATTTAAAATAAAACGCAAAACGTAGAAATGTTACTTAACGTAAACACAAGTCACTAAAAACATGAAAAAAAAAACCGAAATGTATTGTATGACAACAATTTTTTTCTGTTCTTCATTTATCTAGCTTTTATTAATTTCTCCTCATTTTGTTTACGTTTTTTTTGTTGTAAGGTAAGCCTCTATAAAACCATTTAGCCCTTTCAGATGTGCAAAACTGACTCAAGTGGGCAAGTGGACCATTGAATTTTTCCTTAGAAATTTTCCTTAGTCGTTAAAAACATCTATATGAAAAAAAAAAGAAAAGGAAGGAAATTTTTAAAACAAACTCACCCATACATTATTTGGGTGGCAAAATAAACTGCCTTTTGGGTAGATGCACCTCATCGGAATTTGTAAATGTACGTTTGTAACGTCTCCCATTGTCCATTATAGGAATCACGGTGTTTGAAAAGGCGTGGATGATGTTTCAATATTCCGAGTTATCTACTTTATATGTTGTTTAAGTTATGTAAATTTTGTCCAAGAATAGTAAATGGTTTCTTATAAGTGATTGATCGACCTCTACCACATCGAACTGATTAGGTTTTACTTGATATGATGTAATTTCCATCACATTTTTAAAAAAATGTCAAAGGTAAATGGGTAAAAACAGACACAGAAAAATCTGAGACATTCGCTGAACATCTTTCCACAGTATATAGTCCATTTTTTAGAGTACTGCCATTAAAACAAGAAGAACCATTTAATTCTTTTCTTGAGGCTCCATATCAAATGGAACTATCAATCACCAAGTTTAATATTAAAAAAGTAAAACAGATAATAAACAATGAGATAGGGTAGATCGGGGCTAGTTGTGACAGGGGCATCTTGTGACAAATAGTTTTATAGACTAACCATAGGTAGCAGCGTCGCCCGGTTACCCAGAATTCCACGTCCGCATGTCCTCAGTCTGTTTGTGTAGTTTGGTTGTGATGCTATGCGTTTCTGCCGCTTTATAAAATTATATGTCATTTCGTTGTAACGAAGTAAAATGTTGCTGTTGTCTTTGAATTGTTATTTCACTTTCAAACCACAAGGTAAGAAACTTATTCTAGTTGTAGTAGATAGTTTGTTTATTTCTCTCTAGTAAGACACAGTTTGGTTTCTATACGACGTGTCAAGGTCTGTGCAAGTGGCTTTATGTAAAATGGCGTACGGTGGGGCTAGTTGTGACGAAAGGCTTGGGGCAGATTGTGACAGTGTCACAACATGCCCCTACTAATTTTAATGCATGTTTATGGGTTTGTTACAGATAATGGTGAGAAATTATAAAAGGAAAACGGAACGTGGTCGGAGTAATATAAACAGTTACGAGTCGGCTTCGTTAGATGTTAAGTCTGGATCGTGTAGTTTAAGGCAAGCAGCTGAAAAATATGGCGTTAACCGGATGTCCTTACTTAGATATATAAAAAAACAACAAACCAATCCAGATGGAGTGGTAGAAATGGGTTACAAAAGACCTCGAATGATATTTTCACAACAACAAGAAGAAGAGCTCTGTGAATATGCTGTTCAGGCAGCAAAAATATTTTATGGTATTAGCCCAAAAGAAATGAAAAGTTTAGCTTTTGAATTTGCTATAGCGAACAAAGTTCTTGTGCCTGAGAATTGGGTAGCAACAAAACACGCCAGTAATGATTGGTTTACAAAGTTCATGCAACGTAACAATAATGTGTCTATTCGTGTTCCTGAGGCTACCAGCTTAAGTCGGAGTACAAGTTTCAACAAGCACAATGTCGGACTCTTTTTTGATAACCTCGAATTAGTATTAAGTCAAAACCATTTTACAGCTAATGATATTTGGAATATAGACGAGACAGGGACTGGGACTGTCCAAAAACCGGTAAAAATCATAGCGAAGAAAGGCGAGAAAAGAGTTGGTGGTGTCACTTCAGCTGAGAGGGGGACCAATGTTACTATGGTTCTTGCTATTAACGCAGAGGGTAACTCAGTTCCTCCTATGTTCGTTTTTCCACGTAAGTTTTACAAGGAGCATTTTGTACGTGATGGGCCAGTAGGTTGTTGTGGTACTGCTAACCAAGTGGCTGGATAACAGGCCCGGACTTTTTGTTTTTTATGAAGCATTTTGTAAAAAAAGTAAGGTGCTCAAAGAAATCACCGGTTTTAGTTCTGTTAGACAACCACAGTGCTCACCTATATATCGAAGTCCTTGACTATTGTACAGAGCACGGTATTACTCTCTTATCGTTCCCTCCCCATACAACAAATAGACTTCAACCACTGGATGTTTCCGTTTTTGGTCCATTTAAGAAGTTTTTAAACGACGCCATGTGTGGATGGATAAAATCTCATCCTGGAAACACAGTCTCAATTTATGACATCCCAAGTATAGTGAAAACAGCATTACCTAAAGCTGTAACACCAACAAATGTTCAGGCAGGATTTCGTTCTACAGGAATATGGGAATTCAATAGAAACATTTTTAATGAA